AAATTGTCCAAAGATTTATTTATTTATTTATTTAAAACTTAAGATATTTTATGGGCACCCGCGAATTAGATTTTCAATATTTCTTTTTTGCGAAAAATACCACGAATAAAAATAATAAAGATAAAGAAGTATTAAATTGTTCTATAGAGATTATAAAAAAATGGATGCTGTTTACAAAATCACTCTGTATAGAAATAGACTACTACTTTTCAACCGACTTCAAAAAAGGAGGAGGTTTTTTTTTTTTTTTTCTATGTTTGTTACGCGATAACTCCGCCAATTATGAACCGATTTGAACAAATCTTTTTTCGGCGTATAGGTAATACCTCAAGGGTGGTCCCATTTAAATTTAATAATAAAAAAAACAACCCCCAAGGGTGGAAAATTGGGGATGAACTTTTTTATACGCAATATCTCCGCCGATTATAAACCAATTTGAACTTTTATTTTTTTGTTGAATAGGTAATATCAAAAGGGTGGTTTCATGCGAATTTGAGGAAAATATTTCACCCCCAAGGGTGGAAAATTGGGGATGAACTTTTTTATACGCAATATCTCAGTGTACTGCCTACCTTCAGTGGTAACATCAAGGTAATAATTAGTTAACTAAAAAGCAAGAAATAAGTAAAATTTTATAAAAAAAATAAAACCGACTCCAAAAAACCTACACTAAAACGTAGAAAAATAATTACTAATTACCTACTTATTTATTAGGACTAATTATTAATATTTATGTAGGTATACCATGATTGATACTTTTGGAGTCGGTGCAGGCAAACTTTACATGTTTCATAATCTAGGCACCGACTCCAGAAGTATCAATCATGTTATACCTACATAAATATTAATAATTAGTCCTAATAAATAAGTAGGTAATTAGTAATTATTTTTCTACGTTTTAGTGTAGGTTTTTTGGAGTCGGTTTTATTTTTTTTTATAATCTGTTATTCTACACTATCTTTGCAGTCTCAAAATTTACTATCAGTATATTTGATGTCAAAGTCAAAGTCAAAATTTCTTTATTTGTTTAGACTAATAAATAGTTCTTACAAATCGTCATTTTTGCTCTTAAGGAGCCTCTACATGTCTCATATAATAATCTTTTTACCCTACCAGTGCTTCGAGACCAACATTTGGCAAGTGCTGAGAAGAAGCGCCGCAACAAACTCAGTTGGTCCTACTTACCCATACTTTTATCGTCAACAGTGTTGGAATAAGAGAAAGACAATCCAGTTGTGGACTCTTGACCGAAAGCGCACAAATGATGCAAAGTAAAGAACAAAAATAACGATTTCTTTCTATGTCCCATGGTCTTTTCTTTCTACACTGGACCTCAAAGAAAATGGGTCGGTTAGAAAATGTACTAAAGCCCGGTCTCCGAGCACGTAGAACTTTGTTTTTTTCACGACAGCAATATAATTACGCGCGAGTGATAAGGATGGGTAGCTTGGGGTCATTGGACAAAATTCTACGTACTCAGCGACCAAACTGTACACCTTCAAAAGTACATGACCTAGCCTGACCGGAAAAACTAAATAAATAAATAATACCTTGCGGTCAAATACCTGCCTTGTGTAGCATAAAAAAAATCTTTGGCCAATTTCACACAGCGCCAGCTAGCCCCAAAGTAAGCATTTTCATTTAATTTACGTTTAAAAAAACTAGCTTTTGCCCACGAATTCGCCCGCGTAAGATTCAGTTTGTAACTTGTCACTGTCATTCAGTAAACAATAATATTGTAAAGTTTCATCAAAATAACAAGTAACAAACATACATACAATTACATAGATCCACCACACAAACTTTTATAGTATAAATGCTTGAATTAATTAATAGTATTTTTCCTAAATCAGGTACTTTTGAATATTGAAGATTTTCTGACCCTTTTTCTTTGCAGTCCAATGTAGTTAAGGTACAACAGAAGTGGTTCAAATAAAGATGGATTAACGGAACTCTTAAGATAGTTCCACCATCGCCAATGTGATTAAAACTAATGAACACCATTAAAATGGAGTCATTAGGGCAGTGGGTGTACCGAGAGCGATGACGCAAAAGAAAAACTTTTTTAATATACATTTTTTTAAAGAATTTCCGGGCCTTTTCAAGGCGAGAATGAATAGGCACTTATAGGGCAGGTGCATCCTAGACTGCATCTCATTTAATATCAGGTATGATTGCAGTCAAATACCTGCAATGTTCTACTTAAAGTGGTTAGCTAAGCTAACAGCTTATTAATATGTGATAAATCCCCATAGTACAGCGAGCTTACGAGCACGCACGGGTAACTTGTCACGGTGACAGTATATCTCTCCAAAGATAAGAATAAATACTACATTGTCACTCTTTTTTTATTTCATTCGTTTCAGCCAAATGACGTCCAGTCCTGCGCCGCCCGCATCCAGGCACCTCCCCGCGACCTTCACCAGATCGGACCACCTAGTGAGGGGCCTGCCTACACTCCCGGCCCGTATTTTTCTATTATCATAAAAGTATAAAAGAGAAAGATATTATTATGTCACGGTGACAAAAAGGGTGACTTTTTGTCACCGCGCGCATAGATTTATACCTTTTCGCTTCTGTACTTCTACGCTCTCAGTAAAACCCTAGCCTTACACAGTTTAATCTTCCTCGTGCTTAAGTAGAAAACTTGTTAATTGCCAATCAATCTTTTTATGAAACAGATTTAAGATTCTTAAAACGCCATATTTCAGGAATTTCGTTATTCTTATGTAACTAAATAAAATGGTCATTATTTTTCGTGAAAGAAAAATTGAGAGAGTTGGTAGTACCGACTGAAAAAACATCATAAGTACCTATAAAATTGACAGTAATACGTTTCTATCGCCCGTATTTACAAAATTTACTATGAGGTCTCACAGTGCACGTGGACGCACAGGGTGACACACGAACCAATCACAGAACTCCTTTCAGAGAATCACAGAGATTCAACGCTGTGCGTTAGATTGTCTGCTTCACTTAGGCAAGCATCGTTTGTGAATACGGGCGTATGAAAAGTACTTCAGTAAAATTGTACTAAAGAGCGTATTAAATTGTTACAAGTTTAAACTTTTAATCCACATCTTAATAAGAATTTTATTACTAAAGGTTTTATGCTTCCCACTAATGTTCAACATCTTATTAATTCTAGTCGATAATAAAATAAAATGCTTAAACGTAAAGCATAAAGGACGTCACTTAGTTATCAACCCGGAAAGGGATCGTATCGTAACCGTATCAACCGCTGCGACAGTCTGGTATTCTTTGTATGAAACTCCATCCGGACCGCAACGTAAACGCCTCGCCTCGTGATTGAAAGCGCGCGAAAGGCGATGACAGTTCGCGAAGGCGATGACAGCTCGCGAAAGGAGATGACAGATCGCGAAAGGCGATGACAGCTCGCGAAAGGCGATGACAGATCGCGAAAGGCGATGACAGCTCGCGAAAGGCGATGACAGCTCGAGAAAGGCGATGACAGCCTTCGAAAGGCGATACGGTGTTGATCAGTCTGCTATGTATCGTATGCTATCGTAGTTCGAACAACTAAGCACTTTCGATTTATGTATCTAAGGCGGTAATTTGTTTACAAGCAGTGTGAACTGGGGCGTAGTGGTGTAGAACTATCGGTGTGAAACTATCGATAGTTGGATTTAACAGAAAACGATATTATGACGAAAAAAAAGAATAACATTGTTTTCTTTGTCAAATCAAAGTTAGGATGAATTACTGTTATCCTGTTCAAGTTTTGTGATGGAGATAGGGATATTGAGATGAAGGTTTGACATTTTAATAGTACCTGCCTATTTTTTTTGATAGGTACATAAAAATGTCTTCTCAACACACTGCCTCTACTGTACACAAAGATTTGTGTAGTTAAAGAGAAAATGCGGCGGTAAAGATTAATTTCTCAATTTTTCCAAAAAAATACATAGTGCGACCGTCATTTGTCCTCGTATAACGTAACGTATAACAACTAACCCACAATCCTACCATCAGTTTATTGACTCCATTTCCGAAGTTATCGATACAAGCTAGTCGTATTTCACGTCACTATAGGGACGGACATGGGATCGCCTGACTTCACCTTTCAGCCTTGTCACTTTACAACTTGATAGGTTGACTTGTTGACAAATTCGCGTTTGCTTTGGTCACTTGCACACACTGTAAGTTGTTATGTAACATATGGACTTACGATTTACGCTTATACAGTCACTATAAGATCAGAGGGCTGAGTGCGAGTTAATATCAAACGTCGTCACTAGTGAGCGCTTAAAAAAATGACATTAAATGTATGACGGATTGTACAGCGCCTCTAGCGGAAACTTTCAAGAACTAAAATTTTCATACATTTTTTTAACGCTCTTACTAGTGAGGACCTTTGATGTAAACTATTAATATTGCAATCTTTTAATATTGTATTTTTTAATTTTTTATCTTTTGTTTGTTTTTTTTTGTGTATTGTCTCATGTTTGTTTCCAGCTCTCTCCAAAAATGGTCACCGCAGAATAACAGCGTCATGTTCTGGGTTTTATTTACCACTCCAGAGCATGACACATGCTGAGCGGTGGCCAATTTTGGTTCTAACTTGTTCTTGTTTTTTTGTTATCTGATTCTGTGTGTTCTAATTTAAGTTGGAACCAAATAAATGTTTTTCTCTCTTTCTTTCTAAACTCACACTAAGCCCTCAGCATAATGAACATAATGTGACTGAGTTTCTTCCGCCACTTTTCAGCACCAGGCCATAATTATGTAGTCCCATCAGATCGGTGGTAGGGAAAGCTTATATTTGGGACGTGTATAAGAACCCTGGAAAGGGCCCAAGTACTTACGAATAAAAGATAAAACATACCACAAATTCAAATTCTTATTAATAAACAAAACACCAAGTAAGTAGGTACTGTACTGTACGATTATTGCTGTTTTAATACACGGCTCGCCCTTGGAAGATATTGAAGTGTCGTATAATGAAGAGGTATAACATCTTCACTTAAAAGTAAAAGTAAAAAGTAAAAAATGTTTTATTTGACGAAACAGAGCGACATCACATTTACATAAATTACATAAAGAAGTTATACATTGTGCCCTGCTGTCAAATAGGGGCCCGCTCAGCATTAATCGGGGCATGCCATGGGCATGCCTCGACACCGATTTTCAGCGGGTCCCTTGACGTTGCTGCGCCCTACCGCCGAAGGAGAAGCACTCCGTAAAGTACCTGTCCGTCGGCGGGAACACGCAATAAGGGGGCGGCAAAAATGTACCCATAAAAAACAAACACAAAAATCAAATAAAAAATCAAATAAAAAATAATAAAAACAAAACAACAAATCAACAAAACCAACATTTATGCAATCTACGACAAATCAGGGTGGCCATGACCATAAGTCCAATCCAATCGTCGCGACATAACACTATCTTTGTGTTGCAGAGTCCATTGCCAAAGATTAAGAAGAAAGGAAAAAAAAACAAAAAAACAAAAAAAAAGTAAAAAGTGTCCGAGACATTAAAAACGATCATTGAATAGCCTGCCATAAACCAAACCGAAACCGTCCCACCAGATGCACCGACAGAGGGGCGCCACCATCGTTTAACTCTATAGTTTTTAATAGTCAAAAATTGGAACCAGCGATCCGGCATTGATGGTGGCGCCCCGCCGCCATCGCACGGATAGGTCACGGTTGGGTCCATACATAAATATAGTGATCTGTGGAATGAATAAAAACAAAACACCGTCGTATGATTAAAATTTCTCTCTGACCGCCGCCAGCCAGCCATGCCACTTCGCTCCAATCACGCCATACATAAGTGCCACGTAATCACCGTTATAATACCACCAAGCAACAAATAAACAGAGGAGAGGCGTACTTGTCGTGAGGATACCATGGGTGTGTGTTTTGTGGTAGTGTTTTCGCTGCGACAAAGATGACGCTCTGGCAGTTCGAAAGATCAACGACTTTGATGGTAAGCTACGCTCATTAATCCTCCTCTCTCCGTTCCACATTTAGCCTCTCTCTAATCCGTACGTAGATGGTATGTGTAAAATGATGCATTGTGCTTTAGTCTTCCAGGTCCAGTGATGATAATATGTTGAGGAAGCAACCACCATAGCACCATCACACTAAAGCGAGATGGGTCGCTAGGCACCTATGCTGGGACGAAACCATGTAACCCGTGTACATGTTACGTGCATACACTGTAGGTAGGTAAACTTCCAGATTGAGATTCATATTCTTTGAAGATCCAAGAGATGTTTTTTGACCTGTGTTTTAAATGTGTGTTTTACTTCCAGGGCACGAATCGGCGGGGGGAGATCGTTCCAACAACGCGTCGCAGCGAACCTGAAGGAGCCACGAAATGCGACTGTTCGATGCCTCGGTGTGGAGAAAATGTGGGTGCATGCTCGTTTCGGATACTTTCTATGACCATCAGCCCACTCCAACTTATCATACAGATATTTGGGCTTTGCTGCTACAATAATGCCAAACAACATAGTGGCGAGATGCAACCTCCTGCGCGCCTCCATTTTAATAAGGCCTGCAGAGTTTAAGAAGGGGGTAATATGTGTGCGTGGCGGCACAGTAAAACAGAAACGCGCACATGCATTCTGAACTCTTTGAAGCAGTTTCGCTGACCTGGCGAGTAGGCATGGACCATACACTGTGTCACAGTAGTTTAGTTTGGACAGTACAAGAGATTCACAAAGCAATATTCTGAGTTTCTCACTAATATATGGTCTAAGCCTGTACAGCACTTTCAGCCGATAAAAGCAGCTCCTAACACACTCACTGATATGGCTCTCGAAACGAAGGTGGCTGTCAAAAACTATGCCCAGGTTCCTTGCTTCCACCACTCTCTCAATGGGCTCTCCATTTATAAAAACATTGAGGGCTATAGTACTTAGTTTTTTTATATTTTTAGCAGTTCCAAAAAGCATAAGTTTTGATTTTTTGGGGTTTATCACCAGGCAGTTATTCTTGCACCACTCTGAGATGCTCCGCANCCGCGACGCACGCGCGCGGCCCGCAGCAGGTCGTCGCGCAGCTGGCGGCGCGCCAGGCGCACCACCACGCGGCGCGGGCGGGCCCCGCCGGTCTCGGCCGGGGGCGCACCCACGCGCTCCGCGAACACGACGTCCCGCTCCTCCAGGGTCACCCCGAGGCGGCCGGCGAGCACGGCGACGTCGTGAAAGACGTTCCCGCCCTTCTCGTCCGGGAGGCCGCCGATCTCCAGGTCCGCGAGGAGCGCGTCCTGGTCGCGGTCGTTGAGCTCCAGCTTCAGCTCGGCGACGGTCCGCTCCAGCGCCGCGACGACTCCCGACCCGGCGCCGGTGCCCGCCTCCGTCTGCACGCGCCCCACCGCCTCCAGCCTCTTCTCGACCTCGTCCAGGCGCTCCGCGTTCGCGTGCCCGACGCCCGTGAGGCAGACCTCGATGGTGTCCATCCGCTTGTCCAGAGCGCTCGTGCGGCTCTCGCAGCGGTCCAATCTGCCGGACAGTGCCGACACCTCATCCTTCAGTGCGCCCATTTGCTCCCTCAACGCCTGGAGCTCGGAAGTAAAAACCTCCCTGAAGTGTCTGATTTCAAATGTGAGTGCCTGGATATCTGACACCTCGATGGTTACATTTAGCGCGGTGTCATTGAGGCTGCCGCGCCCCTGCTCCGGCAGGGTGGTGTCGAGCTGCATGGGGCTGAGCTCAGAGGCGCCGCGTCGCTGCGTGACATGTTCAGGCGAAGCTCGAACCGGCGTATTTGTGTTGTCCGTCTTGGGCTGCCGGCTCTTACACGAGACGCATTTCCAGCTGGCCCGGTGGTCCCCGGTCAGCGTGTTGTAAAAGCGCTGCTCGGATACTCCAGCGCATTCCAAGTCATATGAGTCCCGGCACAGACTGCAAACCAGGAACCTCCGGTCCTCGATTTTCTTAAGGCAGCCACTGCAGTTCTTAATGCATTTCTTTCCCTTTGGCGACATTCTGTTCTGAGTATCGAGTTACAAATACGAAAGAAGAAAATAAAAATAAAAAAAAAAAACAAAAAATATTTTAGTATTCGGATTTGAACCCACAGTCCCTACGTCAGTGCGCGCCAGTCCCACGGCTATCCAACCGCGCCACCGTGTCACGTGAGTTGTGAGCGAAATTTGACACTTGTGTAAACAGTGGCACGGACGGTCGTTGAACCGGTCAGCTGTCGAGTTCAATGTACCCGACACGACACACAAAATAAATGTTTGCACCGAACACTGTACACCTGTTTAATGTCTCACAGTCGCAATTTTCCTGCACTACAAGTGTTGCTCTTATGTGTGACACGACCACAACAGCTCAGGGAATGCACTGACACACAATTAGGACGATAACTTGCGTTTGTTTATTTTTAAAATGCCAAACACAGTGGAGCAGACGTAAACGCGGCTGTCACGGTTACCGCCCCCCTTAACCTCTTCTCAATACGCTTTCTGAGACAATATATTTTTTAATGTAAGACAAGGCAGGTATTTGACCGCAATCGCACCTGGTCTTGAGTGAGATGCAGTCTAGGATGGTACGTGTCTGCCCTGTATTGTGCCTATTCATAAAGGCCCGGATTATAGGGTTCAGGAAAGACAGCAGCAGGCAGCGAATTCCAATCCATAGCTGTTCGCATTATAAAAGAGTGATCGAAACGCTTAGTGCGAGCTGGTGACCTCATTAATAGCAAATTGTGGCAAAAAATGACGTCACAATGAAATATAGCAATCAAATTCAACAATGATTATTCCAATCCTCTAAAAGCGATCGTGTTTGTTGAGCAAATTGTTTGGCCAAGAACCGCTCCGAGCTTCAAAAGGCTGTTTGTGTTCAAACCAGCAAGCCTTTCTATGACACAGTATACATAGAGGCAGCAGTGTACTCGTCTGTTTGTAGAAATTTTCCGAATATACCTAAGTGCAGCTATGGGATTTACTCCGCTTCATAAACATTGTCTGCAAAAGTCCGATGGAGCGTGCTATGCTCGGAATTAGTCTGCGTGATCGAATCAGAAATGAGGAGATCCGCAGGAGAACCAGTGATTGAAATATTCCACAGAATCGCTAAAATCAAGGCGGTGGCCGGAGAACATAGTTCGCAGAGCTGACGGCCGCTGGGGCAGAAAAGTTCGCAAGTGACGACCACGAGCCGGAAAACGTAGTGTGGGCAGGTCCCTCCACTAGGTGTACCGACGATCTGGCGTAGGTCGCGGAAGGTGGACCGGTCGTTGTGGAAAGCCTTGGAGGAGGCCTTTGTCCAGTGGACGTCATTCGGCTGGAACGAACGAATGAAAATCAACTTCACGAAAAGGGGTAGGATGAGTGTCATAATAAAATGTTATGGGCGAGTTTAGATGACAAATGTATACTTTGTTGTGGCTGTATAAGCCCATAGAGCAAAATCGTTAAATACTTCGATAAAATTTTATCGTGGCTCGAATCTTAAGCCTAATAGGTCAGATATTCTCCGCTGCAGGAACACAATCCTCTCCAATTTACTTGAGTCAAATGGAGGATTTGGACTCAATCCACGCAGGCCAGTACAACCCTACTGGTTTACACTTACTTTAGCAAAACTAAGCTTTTTAGTCTTATTTTTTAAGAAATTTTTGACGTTGACTTATAAAACAAGCACTTTGTGGGGCTTTTGACCCTTTCTGTTTTATAGCCGAGACCATTGCGTGCCTGTGTGTAGGAACAATAGAATGGAGCAGACCTTTATTTTTCCTGTCGGCGGAAATTGGTGGTGTAACGCAGCAACTCCAAAGCGATCTCGTGAATATGTAAAAATTACTCTGTACTGTGAAAGTGGCCTGTGGCGGCGTAGCATGGGTTGGCACCCGGGGCGCGATTCCAAACTTCAAAACTTGTGTTACTACACTCGGCATCAAATAAATCGCACCTCCCGCGACAAGCACTTGTCAAACGTATGCATCCCCACTTCCCACCAACATTGGTATCATTTGAAAGCCTAGTTCTAAACTTCATATCATTAAAGGAAAGGTTTTTACCAAAAAAATGTGTCTTTAGAAGTATCACTTCTTCAAAAAATAGGTAGTTACGCTTGAGCCACCTTTTATGCTATAAAACTGTTAAATTAGGATTAATTGCTATCCATCTGTTACAAAGGACACGTAAGATCATTATTTGGTTTTATAACCACAAATATTGGTCTACTTGGTCCCATAGATGAGCCCAAAGTGAGACCTTTTTTCAAGTCACATTTACGGTACCTACTAATTGTTTATATAAAAATTAAATGTGTTTTTCTTTAAGTTTATCTATTGAGCTTTTAAATAACACCAATATTGTTGGGGCACCATGATTGTATCAGAAGAAAATCTTTATAGTTCGCGTCGCGGAAGGTGCGATTTATTTGATGTTGAGTGTATAAATCAAAAACACCTTAAAATTACAAATCAAATCATTTAATTAAACAGTGGGCTCTAGTTATACTTAACCTATTCAGGTACATTAATTTTTTTGTGACAGTTAAATTAAATTACAGTAACTTTATCCACCTAGTTTTTACCTAGTGAAATACGTAATTGTTTGTCATATTTTTGGTGCTCTGTATTTTTACAAATATTTTACTTGTTTTTTTCCGCATGCGATTGAAATCAACTTGTACTGTTATAATAAACGTGAATCGCAGTTTGTCCACGTTGTTTCTTGGAGGGAGTTGTCCACTGGGAAGGTATAATCTCCTGATCAGACCAGGGTAAAGACAACTGTACACAATAGATGCCGCGAAGCAATTTATTTAAACTTTTTACACAAAAACCGATACTGAAGATACTTTTTTATAGAAAGTGCAAGAAAACAAATCAGTGTCTAGAATATGAAACATAGTGAATTTAAAAATTTTGAATCTATGACTGAAAAAAAAACCTTCTTTAGGTGAGTCTGGCTTAACTAATAGACTAATGTTAATCCAAAATGAAATAATAAAACAGTAGGTTGGGACTCGTTTTTAGAAAAAGAATGCAGGTTTAGATTTTTAACAATAAAAGTCCCGAGTTGTAAAACTGGTAACTGAAACTAGCATGAATATTTTACGTTGCTATCACAGAATTGTAACCGGTAGGGGTCAATCACTGGATTTTGAACTTATGTTTAGTAATAATATTATAAGGTTTAAAATGAATTGAGGGAACAATGAGGATCAGTACTGTTGTAGAAAATTCAATAAAACTAGTATCTACGTTAATCTTTAAGACATAAGAAAGATATATCTTTTTGAATTATCCAAATCGGACCATTACTTACGAAGATATTAAGTAATAAACATAGGCCGTTTTTGCCGCTAAAAGTCAACGTACGCAAGGCCGCGTGACGTCATTATATCCGAATCGAGCGCAGCCGGCGTACTAATGGGATGGAAAATATTTTTTCCGGCTAAACTATCAGTTTTAGAAAAAAACTTTTAATAACATTTATTCTTCAAAATAAAGTAACCTATCGACCAGTAATTTTTAAAAATAAAAATTGTGAAAAATAAGTATTGCTATGTCCAAAAACCACATTTTCATAGGATTCGATGCAATGCGGAGACGCGGTTGGGGTGAGTGTAACTTAATGATTGTTTGTATTGAACATAATAATACTTAATATGATGCTAATACCCAGTTTCTGGCCTGGGGGGGGGGTAAATCATACCCAACTTCTGGCCGAGGGGGAAGTCATGCCCAGCTTATGACCTGGGGAGAGGAGAGGGGCGGGGTAGTCATACCCAGCTTCTAGGCTAAGATTAAATAGATTTCCAGCACGGAGCGGCTGTCCTTTCCTGCAGCAGCTGGCCCGCCCATGGGAACGGCGAATAGATAGGTAGGTGCGTAGGTTTAACTCAGAAAAACTAAATAACAGGTAGGTATTATTAAGTGTACATCGAAATGATTTTCATAGCAATGTCTTATTGTTAGAAGTTATACCTTATTGTTAGAAGTAAATAAATTAATACTTATACATTTTTATATTTTACTTGGAAG